ACATAGGTCACCAGGCGGTGGTGGAACAGTTGGGCAGTACCAGCTTACTCCCCCCCCTCCACACTGGTCACCAAGCGGTGATGGAACAGTTGGGCAGCACCAGCTTACTCCCCCCCTCCACAATGGTCACCAGGCGGTGATGGAACAGTTGGGCAGAAGCAGATTACTCCCCCCCCCCTCCACACTGGTCACCAAGCGGTTGTGGAACAATTGGGCAGTATTCCCCCCCCCCCCTTCAACATTGGTCACTAGGAGGTGATGGACAGTTGGGCAGTACCAGCTTACCCCCCCCTCCACACTGGTCACCAGGCGGTGATGGAACAGTTGGGCAGTACCAGCTTACTCCCCCCCCCCTCCACACTGGTCACCAGGCGGTGGTGGAACAGTTGGGCAGTACCAGCTTACTCCCCCCCCCCCACCACACTGGTCACCAGGCGGTGATGGAACAGTTGGGCAGTACCAGCTTACTCCCTCCCCTCCACACTGGTCACCAGGCAGTGATGTGAACAGTTGGGTAGTACCAGCTTACCCCGCCCCCTCCACACTGGTCACCAGGCGGTGGTGGAACAGTTGGGCAGTACCACCTTACTCCCACTCCCCTCCACACTGGTCACCAGGCAGTGATGTGAACAGTTGGGCAGTACCAGCTTACCCCCCCTCCACACTGGTCTCCAGGCGGTGGTGGAACAGTTGGGCAGTATCAGCTTAATTCTCCCCCCCCCCTTCCACACTGGTCACCAGGCGGTGGTGGAACAGTGTGGCATTGAATTGAATTGGACTTAAATTTGAGAAAAATAAAAATAAGAGAATGAGAGAGAGTGAGCGAAGGGAAAGAGAAGGAGGAAGATAGAGAGAAAAGGGGATAGAAGGAGGGAGATAAAGAGAAAAGGGGGATAGAAGGAGTAGGAGAAACAAAGTAAAAGAAGCAAAGAAGGTTAAGTGGGATGGTGGGTTTGGGTAAAATATACAAAAAGGAGAAACAAAACTACATCTGAAAAGTTAGGATAAGGATAATATATTCAACAAATACATCAAAACACAATAAACTACATCTGAAAGGTTAGGTTAAAGGGTTGGGGAATAAGAACATATGATAAAACCTAATAAATACACTGAGATTACAAGAGGCTAGGTTAAAGGGTGGAAGAATAAGAACAATTATAACAAACATAATAAATACAACTTATGAACAACTTGATGAACTTTAACAAATAACCCTTGAAATGCAAAAAATGACCATTTGAGAAATTAACCCTTGAAATGAATAAATTTCCATATATAACAAAAATCCTTTGAAATGCTTAAATACCCAATCTTTAACAAATAGCACTTGAAATGCATAAATGACCATTTGAGAAATTAACTATTGATACGAACAAATGAATATGAGACATTGATTGATGAAACACATAAGACAAGCAGGAATAATTATATAAGTCAGGTTATGTTTGGTTGGACTAGATATGTTAGGATACATCTGTTTGGGTATGTAAGGTAAAGTTAGGTAATTTACTTTAAGTTAGGTTACGTTAAGTTAGGTTAAGCAAGTTAAGTTAGGTTAGGTTAGGTTAAGTTAGGTAAGGATAGGTTAGTTAAGTTGGGATAGGTAAAGTAAGTTAGGCTAGGTTATGTTCGGATAGGATAGGTTAAGTTAGGTTAGGTTGGGTAAGTTAGGTTAGGTTAAGCAAGTTAAGTTAGGTTAGGTATGGTAAGTTAGGATAGGTAAGTTAGGTTAGGGTAAGTTATGTTGGGTTAAGTTAGGTTAGGTTAGGTTAGGTAAGTTAGGCTAGGTTATGTTCGGATAGGATAGGTTAAGTAATTTATGTTAATTAGGTTAGGTTATGCAAGTTAAGTTAGGCTAGGTTAGGTATGGTAAGTTAGGTTAGGGCAAGTTATGTTAGGTTAGGTTAAGTAATTTATGTTAAGTTAGGTTAGGTTATGTTGGGTAAGTTAGGTTAGGTTATGTAAGCTAGGTTAGGTTAGGTTAGGATAGGTAAGTTAGGTAAGGTTAGGTAGGATAGGTTAGGGTTTGAAAGTTATGTTAGGTTAGGTTAGTTACGTTAGGATAGGTAAGTTAGGTAAGGTAAGGTTAGGTAGGATAGGTTAGGTTATGAAAGTTATGTTAGGTTAGGTTAGTTACGTTAGGATAGGTAAGTTAGGTAAGGTTAGGTAAGTTAGTTTAAGTTAGGGTAGGTAAGCTAGGTTAGGTTATATAGGTTAGGTTGGGTAAGTTAGGTTAGGTTATGTAAGCTAGGTTAGGTCAAGCTAGGTAAGTTAGGTAAGGTTAGTTAGGTTAGGATAGGTAAGTTAGGTTAGTTAAGTTAGGATAGGTAGGTTAGGTAAGTTAGGTTAGGTTTAGGAACGTTATGTTAGGTAAGTAACATTGGGAGGGGAGGATAGGTTAGGTTATGCAAGTTAGGATAGGTAAGTTAGGTAAGGTTAGGTTATGCAAGTTATGTTAGGTTAGGTTAGGTTATGCAAGTTAGGATAGGTAAGTTAGGTAAGGTAAGTTAGGTAAGGTAAGGTTAGGTAAGTTATGTTAGGTAAGTTATGTTAGTTAAGCTAGGATAGGTAGGTTAGGTTAAGTTAGGTTAGGTTTAGGAACGTTATGTTAGGTAAGTAACATTGGGTGAGGAGGATAGGTTAGGTTATGCAAGTTATGTTAGGTTAAGTTAGGTTATGCAAGTTAGGATAGGTAAGTTAGGTAAGGTTAGGTAGGATAGGTTAGGTTATGCAAGTTATGTTAGGTTATGCAAGTTAGGATAGGTAAGTTAGGTAAGGTAAGTTAGGTAAGGTTAGGTAAGGTTAGGTAAGCTAGGTTAAGTTTGGTAAGTTAGGTTAGGTTAGGTTACTTAGGTTAGGTTGGGTAAGTTAGGTTAGGTTATGTAAGCTAGGATAGGTTATGTTAGGATAGGTTAGGTTAGGTAGGTTAGGTTAGGTTAAGTTAGGTAAGTTAGGTTAGGTTATGTAAACTAGGTTAGGTAGAATTATGCAGTGTTGTTCAGAGAACAGTTTAAGGTAAAGTTACTAAGAAAATATATTTTAACAGAAGTGCAGGTTTGATATGAAAAGCTGAACTAGTTATATTTTTGGAGAGAAATTTTATGTCTGAAGATGTCTTGGAGAACAACATTGATGTCTTTGAGAACAACATTAATGTCTTTGAGAACAACTTTGATGAACGAAGATGTCTTAGAAAACTTCTCTGATGAACGAAAGGTTACTTAGAGAATAACATTTGATGACTGAGATTAACTTTTTGATGACTGAGATTAATTTTTAATGTCTTTGGGAATAACTTTTATGACTTAGAGAATAACTTTGATGAATGAAAGTGACTTAGAAATTACCTTTGATGACTCTGAGAAAATCTTTGATGACTTTGAGAATGACTTTTGAGAACATGGCTAGTATTGTTTGATAGCTCATAGAATAACTTTTGATGACATAGAGAATAACTTTATATTTTAGAGAACAACATTGATGTCTTAGAGAATAACTTTGATGAACGAGGATGACTTAGAGAATAACCTTGATGACTCTGAAAATAACTTTTGATGTCATAGAGAAAAACTTTGATGAACAAAGATGTTTTGGAAAGTTTCTCTGACGAACGAAGGTGACTCTGAAAATACCTTTGATGACTCTAAGATTATCTTTGATGACTTTTGAGAACACGTTTGATGACTGAAATTATTATTTAATGTCTCTTGGAATAACTTTGATGACTCTGAGAATACTTTTGATGACTCTGAGAATAGCTTTTGGGTAGCTCTGAGAATAACTTTTGATGTCTAAGAATAACTTTTACGGATAAAGATGCCTGAGATTAACTTTGAGGACGTGAGTAGTATTTGATGATTTTGAGTGAGTCTTTCAATGTGTCATTGATGTATCGAAGAGTGTCTTTGATTTCTCGAAGAGTAACTTTGGTGTCACTGAGAGTATCTTTGACTATATTTCTTACTTAACGACATATAATTTTTTTACGAAAGTGCTGAAAAAGTTACATTTGACTATTTTAGTTGAGGAAAGACATGAAAAATATGATGACAGTGACTATTTTAGTGCTCTACAAAGTATAAATGTCAGTTTAGAACATCGATGATAGATATCTTTGGCTATTTTTTCTTACTTGACGAAACATAATGACTGATGAGAAAGTGCTGAAAGAAGTTTCCTTGACTATTTTTTAGCGAAGTGAAAGGTTACTTTAGTTAAGAACAGTATTGGAAAGAGGCTACACTTGACTATTTTCTGTTGAGAGAAGTGATATTTCAGTTAAGAAATGACAGGGAAACATGATGAAAGTAACTATTTTTAGGTGACTGATGAATACTTTTAGTTAAAACAAAAAGACAAAACATGATGAAATGGCTTTTTTCTGTTGATTGGTGGATAATTTTAGATAAGAAATGACAATGAAACATGATGAACATGGCTTTTTCTGTTGATTGGTGGATAATTTTAGATTAGAAATGACAATGAAACATGATGAACACGGTTATTTTCTGGTGACTAGGGAATAAGTTTAGTTAAGAAATGATGAAAGTGACTATGTTTTTAGTTGTTTCATGAAAGATTTTTTAGTTAATGAACGTTAAATAACATGTAAGGGAATGAACCCAGCGAACATATGGGGAATATGACAAAGGACACAGAAAACATGTAAGAAAAGTTGATGAATACAGTGAACATGCTGGGAATATGAACTTACAGAGAACATGAAAACAAGATAAGGAACATAGGGAATACAAAGAATGAACAATGAACTTGTGAAGAACATAGAGAATATGACAAAGAATGTAGAAAACTTGTAAGTGAAGGTGATAAACGAAGTGATCTTGTGAGGAACATGAACTTGTAGAGGAACATGAATATTGACAAAGAACATAAAAAAATATGGAAGACAGCATGAATATTGAGTATAAAAGTTATAAAGAGAACATGCGATGAACATGAAAACATAGAAAATATGACTAGAATTTGTAGAGAACATCATGAGACTAAGAGAAAGATCGCAGAAAAATGGAGATACAGGTGAAAAATATGAACTAAACACGCTGTGAACATTTGAAGAACATGGAGTGAACATGGATGAGAATACGAAGAACACAGTGAATATCGAGAAAATATGCAAATACAGTACGATTATTGAAGGTTTGGATACGCGAGGGATGAGAAGGTAAGGGAGGGAAAGGGTAAGGTGCGATTTTTTGACCGTGTGATTATTGCTTACTTGGGTAAACAAAAGTATTGAAGGTAAGGTGTTATGTGACCGTTTGAATATTACATAGCTGAGTACAAGAAGGGTATTAAAGGTCATGATGTTTACTTTGATAGACTGGAGAGGGGCTTGATCTGAAATAATTTGATGAACATTGAACTAAGGAGGAGGACATGAGCTGAAACTTGGTTAATGTCTTGATCTTATTTTACTACGTAGAAATATAGTGATCTTAAATTTCAGGGAAATTGATCTGCTACTAAAGAACTTGAACAAATGAACTACGGTGGAGGAAAAGAGCTGGAGCTCAGTAACTGACTTGATCTTATTTACTACGTCTGAAATATGACTGTTTAAAATTTAAGGGGGATTGGACTGCTAGTAAAGATGATATACAGGGAAACACTAAGGTGGGGGACAGGAGCTAGAACTTGCTTACTAACATGATTTATTTTACTACATATGAAATAAGAACATAAGAATATAAGAACAAAGGCAACTGCAGAAGGCCTATACAGAAAATGTGGTCTTTAACAAATTTTGGTCATCAATTGGACTCTGATTAATTTCGATCATGAACTGGACTCTGAATATTTCTGGCACAAAGTGGACTCTGACGAAATTTCCGTATAAACTGGACTCTGATGAAAATTGGCTAGAAAATGGACTCTTGTCAAATTTTCACAGATTACAGGACTCTGAATATTTTTGGCCACAAACTGCACTCTGACGAATTTCTGTCGGTAATTGGACTCTGATTATTTTGGGTATAAACTGGAACTCTGAATAATTTTCACAGATTACAGGTCTCTGACGAATTTTGCTCACAAAGTGGACTCTGTTAATTTTCAGGGTAAAACTTGACTCTGAATATTTTCAGCATAAACTGGACTCTGATGAAATTTGAGCTTTAAACTGTCTCTGACTAATTTTGCTAACAAAGTGGACTCTAAAGAATTTTGAGCTTTTACTGGTTTTTGACTAATTTTCGGTCTTAAATGCATATAAAACTAAATGTCATGGATAAGATGTCTGTTTTCCTTAACAAAACCTCCAAGACAATATTCTCTGAAAATGGTCTTTTTTACAAATTCGGTCATAAACATATAAATAAACTTCTATGATTACTTGAAACTCTGAAATATTTTCTTAAAATTGAACTCTGAAAAAATTGAATTTTCCTCATAAGAACGGTTAACAAACTTCAATGAAATTATTTTCCTCATAAGAACTCTTAACAAACTCATATGAACATATTCTCAGAAAATGGTCTTTGAAAATACGCGGTTTTTGAAAACTGGCAAAGGTTGTCCGTAGAGTTTACCTGGAAATGATGTGACATATCGACCCTTTTTTCCTAAAATTTTTCTATAAGATTTTCATACTTATTTTCTTCATAAGAACGCTTAACAAACTTCTAAAATCTGAGAAATTATTTTCCTCATAAGAATTCCTTAATTCCAAATCTGTGACTGCCCAAATTCACCTGAAACCCATGACGGTCTATGGGCCCCTTTTCCCAGAAAAAAATGGGGCCCATAGACCGTCATCCCTACTACTACCAGGTGGTGGTGGAACAGTTGGGCAGTAGCAGCTTACTCACCCCCCGTCCACACTGGTCACCAGGCGGTGATGGAACAGTTGGGCAGTACCAGCTCACTCACCCCCCCGTCCACACTGGTCACCAGGCGGTGATGGAACAGTTGGGCAGTACCAGCTTACTCCCCTCCCCTCCACACTGGTCACCAGGCGTTGATGGAACAGTTGGGGAGTACTAGCTTACTCCCCTCCCCTCCACACTGGTCACCAGGCGGTGATGGAACAGTTGGGCAGTACCAGGTTACTCACCCCCCCCCTCATTACCACAGGTAACCTAAGGTGATGAGTTAATGTTATACTCCAGATGCCTGGCGTCTTTGTCTCACCAGGTAGTTCTCCCCACCATTAACGTCCTGCGTGTCTCCCACTCAGGCAACCTGGCAGTGATGGTAGTGTTGATGAGTACCAGGTTCACCATGACGGTGTCTAAGTTCCTCATGTGTAACCTGGCTGTGGCGGACCTGTGCATGGGGCTCTACCTCCTCATCATTGCTGCTATGGACCTTCACACCATTGGTGTCTACTTCAACTATGCTATCACCTGGCAGAACGGTAAGAGTATGTGCTGATTATGTGCATGTATACAGCAGGTACAGTGCAGGTATAGTACAGGCATAGTGCAGGTATAGTGCAGGTATACGGCAGGTACAGTGCAGGTGTGCAGCTTTTGCTTAAGTAGTCATATATATATTTCCTAGACACATTGAGTTGAATGTGGATAAAGTTTGTATGGTTAAATCAAGTCCTGACGCTGTGTTTGGGGTGGTCTCACACATGACTGTCTGTGGTCAGTCATGTGTGGGTTGCCTGTTGTTGGCCAGATAGCTACAAGGTTCTTTGGTCAGCAAGCTTTCAAATTGTCTGTCTTGGGGTAAAGACAGAGTTGGAGAAGGTAAAAAGGTATATATGTGGTCATGTTGTATTAACTCTTAGACTTCGAGTCTAAGTGCGTTAAGTGAGTGCGATTAATAGTAACTCAAATATTGGTATTTTTCAAATGACCCTTACTTTTGTTTAACCTTTTGTCAACCTACAAGAAGTAATTGTCAAAACAAGGCGACAAGCCAGGGAGGGGGGGGGGGGAACTATGAAGCACCCTCAAATGTGCAGGATATTTAAAAGGCGCTAAATATCACTATAGAGGCCAATACGAGAACAAAGTTGGAGTATGTTGGCAACCACCAGCCAGGTCGGACGTTCCCCTGGTCTCCCTGCTGGTGTTTACATTGGGCGATTGTTGGTTGCCCTGATGGGTGATTGTTTGCCACTGCAGGGTGACTGTTTTTCAGTCTCAGTATGGGGACTTACGTGCCACCACTAAGGAGGAAGGACTCGGCTGTGCTGACATTTACCTGTCGGGTGGATATTGGTGTCGTCAGCAACACTCTGTTTGCAGTTATGGGTGTGAAAGTGGAAGATCTCGTCGGTCTACAGGTTGTTCGTGACGACAGAGTGGTTGTGAAGTTCGCCAAGAATGGCTTGTTCCGGAGGTTTCTCGACCAGTATGAGGACAAGGTTGTGGGGCTGAACAACGGTCTTGGCTCTGTGACTGTGACGAATTTGAGTGTGGAGTACACATACGTGTCAATTAAGAATGCGCCGTTTGAAATCTGAGGTCTGAGGATCTTCTCCGTCGGGCTCTTGCCAGGTATGATCGTGTGGACTCTATTCGTGCCTGTAGATACACAACCAGGGACGTCAAAGGACTCGGTAATGGTTACAGAACGGCTAAGATGATTCTTCATGGGAATGTGCCTTCTTCTCTCGCGCTTGCTGGCTTTACGGTCTGCTTCTCCTACCGTGGGCAGACTCGGACGTGTTTTAAATGTGGCCACGTTGGACATTTGGCTGCTGCCTGCGACACTCGGATGTATGATCGGGTTAATGTGTTTCATGAAGCGGATTTTCCTCCCTTGCCAGAGCGTGAGGATGTCTCAGTTGTGGACGATACCCCTTGTGAGAGGACGGCCGCGGTGATGAGTACCACTCCATTAAGTGCGGTTAGGGGTAAGGACCCGCCCCCGCCATCGGCTTCCTCGCCTCCACCGGCTCCGCCGGCCCCGTCTCCAGCTCCTGTGTCGCCTGAAGGGTGTGGGCCTCACTGTGGATGAGGCTGATGTTTTTCTGGATCGTGTGTTGCCCGATGACTTGCGGCCGGTTGTCAGCTCTCCTGGGATGCCTCCTGCTGGGGGTGACAGTTCGGATGATCAGAGGCCTCTGTCCAAGTGTTCCCGGAGGGCTAGGAGTGTGTCGCCCCCTCGTGGGTGGGCTGCAGATTGTGAAGTTGTGGATGATGATGTGATGGAGGGGCCTGTGCGGCCTCCTGTGGCGCCTACGGCACCTGCTGCTGGTGCCTCTCCTGCTTGGGAGTTGGCCCCTAGTGATCGTGACCTCGTGGTGGTCCTCATGAAAACTGTGCGCCGGGAGGCCTCTGATACTGTGCCCAGTGGTAGGGGCCCTGGCAGGTGTGCATTCCCTGTGGTTCCCCCTGGAGTGAAGAACCGTGTGACTATCAGTACGGACCTCTGTGGCTACCCTTGTCCATCCCCTGGTGCTCAAAACCTTCGTGCTGCACCCTTCCCTGTGGTACCGGCTAATAGGGTCCCTCTCGATGCGTCGCAGGCTTTGGAACTTACTGTCGATAGCCGGGTGTATCCGGCGCCGTGGTGCCCCTATACTATTTGGGTACCGAGGGTGCAGTGTTTTGTTTATGGGGTGCCGGGGCTGATGCCTCAGCCTTGTGCGTTGCCTGGTAGACCGGTGTCTGATGATGTCAAGCTCGTTTGGGAGGCGTACTGCCTGCGGTTTCCGAAGAGAGAGTTTCCCGATATATATGCGTAGTTTTGTGCTTGCATTATATGCTCCCAGAACATTTATAACTTATTGTATTGTCTGCTATGTAGTTGTTTTGTTTGCCTAGTTTAGGCCTATGTGTAATTTGTTTGTTTTGTTTATACTGTAATGTGTTTTCTGTGTGTGTTAGACTATTATCTTCTGTGTTGTGTTTCTAATGGAGTTGTGTGTGTGTGCTTCTGGTGTGTGTGGTGTTTTTTTGCTTGGTCCTGCGTGTTCCGGTAGTTTTTCCTGTGTGTCTGTGGTCGAACGATCGCAAGTTTCTGTAAGTGTGTGTGCCGGGTGTTCCGTGGGTTGTGTGTGTGTATTGAAACTTCTTATTATTTTGTACCTTTGCTTCTGAATGTTTATTTTGCGCCATTGTGTGGTTATTAATGTATGTCACTTGGCACGCCCCGTCTGGGTTGTGCAGTTTCTTATTGTGTTTTCTAATGAATTTTGCTTTTTTCATGGGTTCTCATTTACGTTTGCTCTTTGAAAATTGTCCACTGTGTTTTTATTGTGTTCAAATATGTTCGGCTTTTAGTGTGACATTTGTACTGTACTTGTTCTGTGTTGCTTGCATGTCAATTGGTGTTATGTTGTTGGGTGGTGTGTGCTGGTGTAAGGTTTTTCTTTTGGTGCTTCGGTGCCTTAATGTTGTAATGTTTTCCTTGTCATGTATTAGTTTTATAAATAAAAAAGAAAAAAAAATACGAGAACAAAGCACATAGGGGTGAACAACACTAAAGGTATCCGATTCACCAAGGACTCTATCGAGGGACGGTGACCACGAAGGAGTGGGGAAGCAAGATGTACTCACGTCCTGAAAGTCACGACATTTAACAAAGATATGCATGACCGTAAGAGGCACAATGCAGTTTGGATAATAAAGAGCAGGAAGGTACTCCATTAAGTGTCGGTGAGTTAAACGTGTATGACCAATACATAACCTCACCAGAGCCCTTTACGGTGGTAAGAGGAAGGCCATGGGAACACGCTACCCTTAAGTGCAACCAGTTTGTTTCCAGTAATAGAAGACCAACGATCCTGCCAACGGGCACGGATTGAGAAACAAACAACTGGATTGAAGTTGAAATAAGGAACTCCTTTGCGGGAAATGGGACAAGTGGGATAGCCTCCTTAGCGGCAGTGTTTGCACGCGCATTTAAGGACACACCAAATTGGCTGGGAACCCAGCAACCTATCTTAAATCTGCTGGAGATAAGAAACAGCCCATGTTGAATTTTGAATACCATAGGGTGAACTGGATAAAGGATTCCAAAGCCATGCGGGCACTGCAAGAGTCAACTACAAAAAGAAAGGAAGGTTGACAGCGAGAAAGCAGTTGACGAAGAGCATACAAAATTGCATAAAGTTCTGTCGTGAAGGTGCTAGTCTCCGGGGGCAAGCGAAACATGAAAAGAAAAGTGAGCAAGGAAAAGGCATTTCAGAACTGTCGGAGGGGTAAAAGCTTTTGTCATACAGGTAAAGGTTTTACAAAACTTAGGAAGGAAGGCAAAGATAAAACGACACTAGGAGAAACATTGGTAACACGAACCAAAAGAGAGAGAACCTTGCAAGCGAGACTATTTTACAGAAAAGGTTAGGTGATGAGAGGGAATCGGACCCACAGGAGGAAGTAATGGTCAAAATATGACATAAGCGAGAGTCTGTGTGTTGTGGACACCGCGCAAAGTTGTGAAGACAGAAGCGATCAAGGCGATCCTGTCCTCCCGTCCTATATGACAGGATGCTGGTTTCAATGTACAGGCTCTGGATAGGGGTCGAACGAAAGGCACTAGAGCTAAAACGGAACCCAGTACGGTAAAGAGCATCAAGACGATGAAGAGTTGAGGGAGAAACAGACGAGTAAGCAGTACAGCCATAATCGAGTTAAAACTGCATGAGAGAGGAATGTAAAGAGTGGAGCGTGCGCCTATCAGCTCCCTGAGAAGTATGGGATGAGATCTTAAGTAAGTTAAGGGCCACAGAGCATTCTGCTCTGTAGTAAGAGATATGGGGCGACAAAGACAAATGAGTGTCAAAGACAAACCCCAAAAGTTTATCAGAATCTTAATACAAAATAAATTGTCATAAAGCGACAAAAGGGGTCAAAGAATGACCTGCTTCCGAGTAAGGGTCATAGCACAAGTTGTAGTTGAAGAGAACTTGAAGCCATGAATGGTGGCCTCAGGACGACACGGCATCAATCGCAAGTTGAAGCCGCCGTTGGAGGAAAGGTGACACATCATCTTGACAGCAGAGGGTAACATCGTCAACGCAGAGAGCTGAGAAAATGTCAGAGGGATGGGTGGAAAGAAAACCATTTAGGGCAACCTGGAAGAAGAATAGTGCTCTGAACACTACCCTGGGGTAGTGTTCAGAGCACTATTGCTGAAAAGTCGAAAGAGAGTGTTATCTATTGCTTCGTATTGCTGAAAAGAGAGTGGTATCAAGCCTCACTAAAGGAACGACTAGAGAGGAAGCTTTGTAGGAAGTTAGGGGGATTCCCACGAAGGCCAAAAGAATGGAGTTTGGACAGAATATGGTATCCAGATATGACACCAGGTGGTGCTATAGGCCTTTTCCAGGTCAGAAAGGACAGCAACAACAGAGGTCTTCCCAGCAAAGTCAGTATGAATACTGACATAAGTTCACTAAGACATCAGTCATGCTGCAACACTTGCGAAAGCCTAATTCAGAAAGGAAGAGGAGGT